GATCCACACAATCGAAAGCCTTTGTGTAGTCAGGTGGCTCATGGGACTAACTGTCAGTGCCTGTAAAGCGCCTGCCCCTCTCCCATCCCTTTAGCTGTCACTTTGTAAGAGGGTTTGGGTATTGGGTGGAGGATAAATTAAGTGTTTGCAGTGGTTGAGCCCCTGAATAGATTTAATGAGTAAATGTAATGAGTCTGATGTAAGATTTAAAAAAGAAATGGGGTGGTCTCTCCTATCAGCCCAACAAACATCCTGGGCTGGCTTAAGTGTCCTAAACTGAGCCGAGCTCCCCATATGGGGACACAGGAATGATCGGAAAAGGGACACTCACAAACCCAACTAGGGATTTGAGGTCCAGGTTTGGGCCTCACCCATGTGTATTTCAGCCATCACCTGTGGCAGCTCCCATCATCCCATTGGAGAAGCTCTAGCTCCAGTAGGATTGAATGGGGCCTCAGCTGATAGAGGGAGGCTGACAGAGGAGAGCAGGGGCTTACTTTGAACCGAACATGATGTGACCGAAAGCAGCCTTGTGAATTTGGATTCTTTGCTAAAGTCAATCCTTGTGCTAATTCTTGAAGACAGCACTAGACATGGGGGTCACTGTGAGTAATTGCTACTGGTTCTTTCAGTATTTGTGTCAGACCCTTTATGCATCTATGCCTGAGATTCTACAAAGGACATGTTAGTTCCTTTTGACAAATGAGAAAGTGAGGCTCGGCCAGCAGTCACACATGACCACAAGTTCTTTGCAGGTACTGTTTCTAATACTCTGGCAAACTGGAAAGGGAGGAGGCCCAGCTTCCCCCTTTTATAGATTATGTGATTGCCCAAGGCTGCCAAGGTCTGACTAGAGCCTCAGATCACATTAAGCCAGAGTGCTTAGAGAGGGAGGCTTGTCCAAGAGACAGCTGAGGTCATCTAGGCATAGCATCTTGCAAGCGAATCAGCACAAGCCACACTGGATGGTTTTATGTAGATGTCCAGGCAAGGCTTTGAGGTGTCTCTGCTCATCTAGTTATATAAGGGTTGGAAGACTGGTCTCTGAATCCTAATTCATTCAGAATAGCACTTGGAAACCATTAAAAACCAGTCAGCCACAACCATCTTGACAAGGCCAGTCTTGACACCCTTTACAACTCTGGTTCTGGGTCTGAAAACTGCAGTGTTGAGGATCCTGGAGGGCTTCTGGAATGCCCAGGGGAGGAGCCCGTCAAGTTCGGTATCTTTGAGAAGCACAGATTCACTTAAAACATTCTCTGAGGGTGTGTGTTATGCCTGCAGATTGGAAAATAATGAGACAGTCCCAGGCCTCCAAGGGCTCAGAGTTGTGCTTAAATGCATCATCATTGAAAAGGACCAAGTTCCACTTGGAGTTCTGGCGTGGGGCATGTTGGATAAACATGGGACTGCTAACCACAAGGCCAATGGTTCACACCCACCAGCTGCTACTCAGAAACTCTACAGGGTTGGTGTAAGTTGAACTGATGCCAGTGGCACTAAACAGCAACAACAGCAAATACCACGTGACAGCTACAGAGACTCAGTTGTCGGCAATTTGTGGTTCACAGAATATTGTAGCTGTAAGAGGCCTTTGAGGTTGGTCTGGGTAAAGCAGATTCTTTGACCATTCAAATTAGCCAAGGTCTGTATGGCATTGCTGTGAGGGGAACATACCCCTACAAGGATGTATAACCTGACCGTGTCCCTCTGTGCTTAAAGTCTGTCCCCAGACTGCCTCTCATTGCAGGAAGCTGGCACAACTCATCCCCGGGCCTCCTCACTGAGCCTTGGCACAGTCCTCTCTGACTCACTGTGGCCCCAGTGCCACCAGGCTGGTCCTTGCTGCCCGGTCTTTGCTCATGCTGGTTCCTCACCCCTGGAATGCTGGTCCATCTCTCTTCACCCTGCTAATGCCTGTTGTTAAGTGCCATGGAGTCCGTTTCAACCCACAGTGGCCCCATGTGGTACGGTAGAACCGTCCATAGAGCTACCCAGGCTGTAGTCTTCACAGGACTGGTTGAGCAGGACTTTCTCCCGAAGAGCAGCTGATGGGTTTGAATTGCTGACATTTTGGTTAG